TCGAGGGCGTCTTTGCACAGCGGGACGATGTCGACTAAAAGCCGATCGTGTGGATATTGTCGTCGCGGTTGCGTCACTGAATTCAGATTACGGTAACATCGGGTTCGTGCCTCTGAAAAATTCACGCGGTACAGAATCTTCGATCGCCCACTTAGACATATCTGTGTGGAGAACGGAAAAAGCTCCAGACTTGTGTAATTGCAAGTCGATAGGAGCCTGGGTGTCGCAGACCGGCTCGGCGTTTAAAGCGGAAATCTGAGTATCCAAACGCGTTCGAAGATTCGCTAAAGTGGGTGGAGCACTTGGGATGATACGCGACGACGAAACTCAAAACGATATCGATACAGTTGGATTTAATTAACACCGTCCCGCAATGCCGCGCCACCGACATCGAGACGCCGTGACGAATGGCAGTAAATATCGGACAAACTTGTCTTGACGAGGAGGCATTCTTGTGAAGAGAGTGATACTGTGACCTAGTTGTAGTTGTAGTAGTTGTGCTTGACGGGTGCCACCTGTACGAGTAATGAAATTGTTATTGTCTTAAATAAAGTAAGCTCGAACTAATTGGCTCGTTGTTTCTTGCACCTGTGATTAACAGGTCCCTGCCATCCGAGCGGCGACGCTGTTATTCGGAAGTGGAGTAATTGCGCTTAAGTATATCAAGTATAAGTTATAATTTGCTCTGTACGTGTGTTGCAGAGGCGAGTGTGTAATTTCCTGTGAATGGCGGTGTTTTCGGCTCGTGTCGCTGTCCAATGTAAAACATGATTAGCAGAACACATTACGTAAGAGACCACTGTCCCGCGGAGGGATATCCGGTACGTTGCGTTATCGGCGACCTCATCAAAAGACGCATTACTGTGCGCATTCGGCTGAATGAAACTCTCGCTTGGTTATTCGTCATCGACTTTATTTATACCCATTGCGTTTCCCTTCGGCTGCATTTCGTGTAACAACATAGAATACCTGCGCGAGCGTATGCATTTCATGTTAACTTTCGACAATTTCTCTTACGGCCATGAGATTATAGTGTCAGAATTTCCACCATCTTTCTGAGCTCCGAGAATCTTGGAAATCCTCCCTAGGATGCGTCGCGCAGCGAGGGTCCTCGAAACTGACTCGCGCCTGAAACTTTAACGCGTCGAGATCCTAGAAACTCGAATTACAAACGCGTGCATCACAGGGAGGTCCATTCTGTTGTAATGCCCGCGTGTAATCAGAGAACGTTACATTATCGCGAGCTATTTCGGGTACACGCGCGTGTGCCTCCGCGCGAGCTCCGACCGAAACGGCTGCGAATCTGCCGAGATTAGAATCATTACGGTACAAGGGGGGGGACGACGCAACGGCGCCCGGTTGGATAGAATCTTTACGATCGCCGTAAAGCTCGGTCTCTTTCGCATTTCCGCTCGATTCCCGGCTTCGCGAGTGCACACACGCGGTTATCGCAGCCGGTGCCTGTGGTACAAATCGCGGATGTCTCTCCGCACATCTTTAAACGGCTAGTGCGATCGCCCAGTCCTCCGCGCGAATATTCCCCCGTGGACCGAGTCACAACGTTATGAACCGCGAATAACATCTTCGCTCGCCAGCTCGATATTAGAGGCAAGTTAAGCTAAGGCTAATATTGCACTTGTCGTACGACAAATCTTTCACGCGTATCGATAAGCTCTCGAGTATCCAGAAATGTTCTAGCTTGTAGCCAATCGATACACTTGAAGAAAATTTGTCGTATACGATAAACGTAAGGCTCGGTCTACAACGAGCTGTTAGTCGTCAGTCAAAAGTCGCAACTGTACATTCATCCTTTTCCCATTTGGGTGGAAGAAAGAGGATCCACATATAGTTCTGACTTCGGACTAACGACTCATTGTAGACCGGGCCTAATAGTGCCCTAAGACTCCATAGATACGTCGAGCTGCGGCAACGCGAGTAGAACAATCAGAAACTTGCCGCAAGCTCCCTGCGTTGAAATTGAAATCTCTCGGTGCGTTGCTGCAGTTCAGCGCGTCTATACAGGGTGTCCCATTTTAACTTGGACAGTAAAATATCTCAAAAACTAAGTTCAGCAAACAAAAATGTTTCAGACAAAAGTTATTCATATCAGATAGTATAATAAATAACAATAGGGGGCGTCGTTTAAAAAATTGAAGACGACCTTCACGTGACCTTCAAGCAACTATTCAAGGTCAAATTAACGACACCATCTTGTGCCCTTCTCGAGACCAAACAACTCTTGTCTAAAACATTTTTGCTGGGCTTAGTTTTTGAGATATTTGACTGTCCAAGTTAAAATGGGACACCCTGTAGAGTCTTAGTTTTAAGGAGGGACAAAAAGTCGTCCGACTCTACCGTTGTTCCGATAAATTTCGCGAGACCTCGGCTAAAACTCTAAGATAGGACTCGGCTTTTTCAATTAGTCTTAACCCCAGGACGAAACATTTGTTACTCCGAATCGGGATACTCCGCGCTCTTGAGGCGCGACGGGTGAAATACGTCGTGGCAATTGTTCGCAGAAAACGCGCGTTCTTGGCGGCTCGCAATTGGTCCCGCTCGGGCGCTCGCGATCGGATAGCGTTTAACGTTTAACGCAATTGTCTGGATGGTGCGTGCGCGTGCTTGACGACGCAAGCGGTTACGACGGAAGCGATTACGCGGCGGCGGAGACGGCGCGTTATTATCCCTGCGGTCCACATACAATGCCGAGGGGGCTCCTTTGAGGTCGGCGTTACGGGTTCCGCGAAACACGTCACGTCGGGATATACGTATCGGGACTGCGAATACTAATGTCCCTCTAATGCATCGCGCGGCCTGAATGCGTAATAGACGCCAGGCGTCGCGTCGCGTCGCGTCGGCGAGATGAAGCACCCGCGCAGAAATTTCCACGGATTCGGGATGTGTGCGGGATAATACGTGTGCGCCCCGGCGCCGCGATTTATCGCGAATGTGTGCACATCGCGCAGACCGTGGCACTCGGCGAGACCTGCATCCTCGCGCGGTAACGCGCTCTTTGTCTCCGAGATGCGCGCGGATTATTATCTCGCCTCTTACACGGAATATCTAAAGAGATACACGTATACGCTCAAGTAGACGCGTTACACGGAAGAAAGAAAAAAAGATCCGAGAATAATCGCTTTCGTCCCCGTTCGTTCATCTTGGAATCGCGAGCGAAGAGATCCGTATTTGGCGAACGGTGGTGTCTCTTGTCGAAAATTGGATACGTCTCGACCCTTGTATCAACATTTAATCGCGCGCCTTATGTTTTCTCACGGACTCCCGAAGTTTGAACGTTGTGTAACTTGGCACAGTCGCGGAGTCTCGGGAGCCGGATATATTTCTGAAATAACAGATCCGCCGTGATGTTCGCGTTTGGAATTTCTCGTGTTTCATCACGCTTTATGTCTCTCATTATTATCGCGATGTTTTCTCTGCGCGCGTCGCGCTCAAAGGCACGGCGCAGGGAAGAGACGCTCTCTCACCCCTCGCGCCCGACGAAATCGAGACGGAGAATCGAGCCCGTCGACCGTGAGGGCTCCCGCGCGCAGGTATCAAACGTGGCTCGCAAAGGAAAAAGGCGAAGTGCGAATTCGACGCGTGACGGACCGCGTCGTCGCGCCGTTTACAGCCGTGAATGCCGGGGGGCTGCGAGAGGAAAACGGGGTCCGAAACAAAGGCTCCGCCTTCAATTCCGCAGAGAGCTCCGGAGAGTAAGGAGGTTTAAACGAAGTTATAAATCTCGGCTTTTTCTTCGGCGTTCGCGACTCGTATAAACCGGAACCGGTCACAATGCTTTTACGAGTAGACGGTTTTCCAGGTCAATCGCCGTCGCTTTTTCGCCGCACGTACGTGTCGTTTGCATTAACCGGGTTTTACGGGATGATCGAGGACTCACGGGGAGCTCGATGAATTTTAGCGAGGGGGGGAATTTCGAGGGGGCTTAACGTAAGTATTTTTCAGCTTAATACCTCCCGATCGTTACACATCTGTAAATCTCCGAGCAATTTTTTCCAATCGCCTCCCCCTCCCCCCTGCCCCGCGATTTTCTGCAGTTCCAATTTTTCGCGATTCACCGCGACATACGAATTTTTTTTATCTCTTTATCGAGAGGAACGCGAAGATAATATCGCGTAAAAATATAATATAATACGCTTCAAATATAATACGCTTATATGTGTTTTTGTAAAAATAAATACGCCGCTGTTCGGAATGCAAATGTGGGTGTATTTGCATGGTGAAATATGAAGATAGCATTGCTTTTTTTCTAAATGCAAATCTGTTTACATCTGCATCGCAGAATGCTAAAATAATATTCCCGCGCGTTGGAGCTGCGTTTAAGAATGGGGAACGCATTTAGATTTGACGCGCAAGACGAAATTATTAAATTTCGTTATAGGTGAGAACTAATTTAAATGTAAAGCTCGCCGCACGCGCGATGCAAATCGCTTCAGTTTAAAACGCCGGAAAACTGGCCACGGCTATATCCTTGCGCTTCTCTAAAATCGTGTCGTACATAAAAATTGCACGGCGGTTCTTTGTAGTACTTAACAATTTATCCCAACGAAATGCAGCCGCGTTTCAACGTAATCACTTTAATGAATAGGGAGCGAAATGACGTCGATGATGAGGCCGCGCGAATCCAACGTGACGCGTCATCGTGACGCACCGCGCACATTATAATTCATTATATTTGCTGTCTATTAAGCCGGCCAACGTTATTTTCATTATTCTCAACATCTAATAATTGAGCATCAAACGACATTATCGATTAACGCGCCAATTGCCGCAGAAATTATTTTGTCGCGGGGCGACTCGACAAATAAATTGACATAATTAATGTAATGTCTCTGACCAAAGGAATTAGCAATTTCGGCGTTTACAGTTCGACCGCCAGAGCCGCTGCGGATGTCGAAACGACCGACCGTGGCGGCCGAATGTACCGATAACTTTGCGCGATGCTCGTGGATCGAACCGAGGACGAACGTGGATCGGGCACTGACCTCCAGGAAATCCTTCACCGTGCTGTCGACGACCATGAGCGGTCGTTGTATCAGATGGACGACACCGTTGCGCACCGGGATGTTCGCCTTCACTATTTCCGCCAGCACCACACCGGACTGGTGGTTCGCATCGCCCAGCAGCGTGTCCGATTGAACGTAGACTGAAAATTGGACTATCAATTAGTCATCGAGACACAATATGCACCGGATCTATCACTGGCGCGAGGACACGTCCCCTTTTCAGCTCGAACACGATCGCTTTATTAAACGCGCGCGGCCGTCTCGCGTTAAGCGTAATAACGCGTAATAATGGCGGACAGTAACGTCGGTCTCTAACTTCCACGATTCTTCGTCGGATTACGTTATCGCTCTCTGAATCGAATCAACCGCCCAAAATCTGTTCTCCTGGATGACGATAGAGAGTGCGCAAGCGATGATTATCACCTTTATTTTGCGACTTGAGAAAGCTGACGACGACTTTCAGATTGTCGGAGAACACGAGGGTCGGGTACGGCACTTTGTCCGGCGTCGGCGCGGTGAAGAGAACCTCGCCGGATAGAACGTGCCCGTCGATCACCCGCTGATCAATCTTGTTCGGCCTCGGCTCCGGCTGTAACAGAGAGGCGAGGATCACGAGAAACTCCATTGGAGCGGGAAGAATATAAATTGCGTAATCATAATTTATCGCGTCGTAATTCCAGGTGGAAAAACGACATCGCGCTTTCGTTACTTTAGTCAATCGCGCGACTTCCCCTTGTTTCTTCGCACGTTTTTGCCGCGATTAGACCCAAGGAGGATCTACACTGTTAGACGCAGTGTGTAATATTGTAATATAAGTGGTTTTAACTCTTTTAAACTGAATATGTAAAATGCTCTATTGGCAATTAATTGCTCGTATTATTATTATTGGCCTTGCTCTCTTGATATTTAATAAACTTGTATCTCCCGCAAGGAGCGACACGGTACGTTTTTATTCCGCGGACCGCTGACGCCCTCGCAAAGCATCCCTGTTGTCCGGATACCGCGCGTCCTTTCATCCAGACGCCTCACAATCAGCTTCTCGCACAAAAGCGAGCGGCCGACCGCGTTGTCACGGCAACTCGATTTCTACGCGGGGACCGCGAACTTTAGATTCCATCCTGCGCGCGGAAAGGGATCTTCGAGGAGGGGACGAAAGGGGGCGCGCGGAAGGGGTCTCGATACCGACCGTGGAGTTCCTCGGCGAGGCGACGACCTCGTTGAGAGAGAGAGAGGGGAACTTTTTCGAGATCGAGTCGTACACCGTCGTTATACACCCTTTCGCACCCTTCTCCGCGGGCCTCGATTTTCTTTGCTTTTTCGCCGGAGTCCTTTTTTCCCCGCCTTTCCCTCCCCTCCCTCCCTTTCTTTCTTTCGTTCTTCCCTCGCTTTCCACTTTTTTTTTCGGATCCGAGCCCGACGCGTCGTATGTACAGGCGCGAAACTTTCGGTAATTTCTGACGGGATGGCTCGTTTAACTCCGGCTCGTTTTTACGCTCCAAGTTGGATTACGTGCGCGCGAACATCCATTGTGTGTACGCGAGCTTGGCGTTGAAAATTGGAGAAAAAGCGGAATTCTCCAGCGCCGAAGTGCCGCGATGCGAGCATAATGAAACACGGGGGAGTGGTCGGAAGCGGGGATGCGCGCAGATTCGTACAACGAAATTCATAATTTTTAATTGTCCTTATTTCCGCCTGGGATTAATGGACGTTTCTTGAAACTACGCGAACAAGGGAGGATGCGAAATTTTAACGCGTAAAATTTGTAGCGCGGCTCCCGCTGACGAGCGTTGTTAAAAAGCTTTTACCGGCACTCTGATAATAACAAACGTTTTTAATCAATATTAAATACGACGTTAGGACACAATTAATTGAGAAAATAGCTCGTCTAGACTTCTCGCCACGAGCCGTCCTTGTATTATATCGGTTTTTTTCTTCACAAGAGAAGCGACGCGAGTGAAACAACGTAAGTTTCACAATTTCTACATACAATTTATCAACGCGAAAGCGTGTGTACTTTTATCTAGGGGAGCGTCATAAATAGTTTTGTAGTTACAGAAATCTCGTACACAACGGGAGTAGTACGGACATTTCGTTTAAAAATGACGACGGTGAAGAGAAGGAACGTTCAAGAGAAAAATCCGATTATGGAGGGAGATCTAAAAAAAGAACTACCCTACTATTATTTATGGTCGCATTGACTTCGGCCTAAAGTTCGGTGCCAATGAAATTAAGTAGGAAGAGAAGCCCCGCGGTCTCTCCGCGATTCCGCGAGTGAATAGCCGCGTGTGAGCACGCGGGCGCGTTTTATCGCAGGTGTCGCCGCTGGAACGGAGTTACACGAGCGACGCGGATTAACTTTAATCTCGGTTCAGCCCGCTTTTTATCTTCTTCACGATTCTTAAAACCGGGGAGAGATAAAGGGGAAGTTTAACTGAGAGATTACATTAATCTGCATCGGTAGAAATGGAACGTGGCACAACCGACCTTCCCCCGGTTGTCGTCCGGGTGTGCCGCGGTTCTTTCGGGCGGACGGGTTCGCTCGAACGCGAAGGGCTCAATCGGGGAGAAAATCCGCGGTGGTTCGCGGGTGTGTGCGTGAGTGAATAATGCGTCACGGATCACGGAGCTGCGTCGACGACATGGAGCCACGGTAACGGATTAATCGGAGGAGAGAACGAGGACGAGATCGCTCCCCGGCCGTGACGTTCGCGCGAGACGGCGAGTTCCCCCGCGTTTATTTCAGCCGAGTAAGATGTAAGACGCAAATAAATAGATAATAAACAAATAAGTTAGATGGAATAACGGAAACGAACTTCATTTCTTCCAACCGCTGAGAATCGTCGAGAGAGAACGAGCGACGTGCATTTTCGAGAGTTCAGCTTTTATCTACGCGGTGCTCTTTGCGTTCAGAAACATTCTATTTTGTGGCCAATAAGTACGTTTAAACAATTTATGCAAGTTGACAAATTGTACATTGTACATTCTACACAATCGTACGTTGTCAATCGTCAGTTCTTAAGCGTTTCGAGTTGCTTGTACAAAATAGAACGTTTCTAATCGCATTGTATTATAGATCCATAAAATGAAGCTATTTGATTCGATTAAGCAAAGCTCGGACAGACAAATTTCAAGACAGCGAAAGCCTTTCTGGCTTTTTGCCTTTTTATTCGATTTTCCTCCAACCGAATCAAATCGTAAAAAAAAATACAAAGATCCAACACTAGCCTAAACAATGGCGGATGTTAATCGCGGCCCCCTTTTTCCCTCGCGTTACGTCGACTCTGGCCCGCCTATAAAGGATTTCTTCGACGTTAAAATAGATTTGCGCGCGACGTCGGGGTGTCGCGTTTGTAATCCGACGTTTGAAACGTCTAAATGCCACGCGCACGTTATCCGTACGGAATAATTTACATCCGCCGGCGAAACGTCATCCCGTGTAACGCGCCGCGCTGCGGCGCGGCTGCTGCTCCGCGGAACATTTCGAATGCGCGCGTAAATTTCGCGGCGTCCTAGGACCGCGCGCTGTCGCCGCGCGTGCATCGCGATAATCCGTTTCTTTTCAGCATTTCGAATCCGGGAAATTCCTCTTAATCCGCCCCGCGTCTCCGTCTTCGAGAATATTACAGTATTAATATTGTAGTAACCCTTTCACGGTTGAGTCACGTTCTGTTTTCTGATATTATGATTTTTAGTGCAACATCCCGAGGAACCAGAAAGACGAGAAATGCAAGCGCAAGTGTGTCCACTTGACCATGTCTCACTGGTCAGAAAAGGATTAAATCAATTCTGAATTTAACCCTTTCGTCCCTGACTGCAACTTTTTTCCCCAGAACGCCCGTAGCGTTCTCTAGCTTTCCGATAATTTATACATTATAATTAAATTACCGGAAAAATTTAGAAAAATATTTATACCACTCGAGACGAAAGCGTTACCAAAACCTGAATTAAACCTTCTCTTATATCTATTCCTGAATAAGTCTCGAATTGTCTAACAATAAGTCGTCTCGGTCGCTGCGTCTGACTTCGCAGCGAGTGCAATTGTCTTCGAACGTTCCGAGGGGAAATCGCGCGCGGTCGCGGAGCATGAGAGATATTGAAATCATCCCTTCGGATGATCAGTTCGCTAAAGCCGCTTACCTTGAAACCCTCGTCGACGGGGATGAAGAAGGTGAAGCGACCCTCGGCCTTGAAGATACCTTCCTTCTTCGAGATGACGATCCGCTGTCGGAAGGTGCTGCGGGGAGGAGGGAGAGAAAAAAAAGGGTTAATTACGAAGGCGTGGTTGTACGAGACGCGCCGACGTTAATAAGACAAACGAGAAAAGTTCGTGCATTTATTTACGTTATTTAGATGCGCCAAGTTTTTGTATTTATATTTAAATTAGGAGGACTGCGTTAATTGACAGGGGAAGGAGGAAGGGTCCGAGTATACTTTAAATGCGCCCGAGCAATTGTTCGAGAGGATAATCAATATGGGATATTTAGATCGGATCGACAGCGTATCTTCTCACCGTCAGACTTCAGCCCCGTTTATACGCGTGCGATGATTAGCGGCGCCAACTGACTGTACTTGTTGGCGTCAGAAACCGTGTCAAAATGGAGCCGAGACTGTGCGAGACTTCAAGCACGTAACTTAAAATACCTTGTGACTTCCGTACTTGACGTCATTTATCGCTTATGCTGTCTTCTAACGTCGACGACTAGACACGTTGTACAGGGAAATCTCTGACTTTTGACATCATTTTGACATCTCTAACTTTGACGAATCTTGTAAGTTTTTAAACAACATATAGAAAACGGCTAATGCTGGTCTAAGGTAAGATGTATGGTAGGTAGCCTATACTTGTAATTTATTAAAATGTGAATTCATATACCGTTTCTTTCCATCTTTGTCGTGCGCGCCGGTTTTGCTTTCGGACATAACGCAGTTTTCTTACGGGTGGAATTAATATCGTCAGCAAATTCACATATTCTAATCGCTAAACGATTTGTAATTATATTTTAAATGCTACGTTTAGCATTCAATACCCCCCTTTCCCGTACTGTACATTATTAATCTTACTGCGAAAAATATTACCTCAGTCAGAATTCGAACCTAGGACCTTCCTCAATCCGTGAGGCGAGTGACTGCCAGTATGTATAAACGTCATAGAGTGCTGCTACACGGAACGCTTAATCGGGTTTAATAACATCTGTAGTTATAAAACTGGCCAATCACAACTATTCCTCAGAAGAATGGAATGACTGTGATTGGCCAGCCCTTTAACTTCGGATGTTATTAAACCCGATTAGAGTGCCGTGTAAACATAGTCATAGACGCGAGTATTCATGGTAGCCTCGAACTGAAGGGCTTAACGTCGATGGCTACCGGGGAATCAGAGGAAATTCTTGAAGTGTAGGATTTAACGGCGAACGACAATCCAGTGATCTAAGAATGCGGCGATATTTCGCGAAAGTGACGCTTCGAGAGCGCGATATACGCGTTTAGAGGGCGGATTATCGCCCGAGATTCGAGGACGGGAAAAGCCCTCCTATCTCTATTCTCTTCTCTCTTCCCGGCCGCGATAAATGTCCTCGTTACTCTTTTATATGCGCCGACAGACGCTCCCACCTACCGAAAACGATCGCCGTGTAAATAGCGCCGGGTCCGGAGTCTCTCGAACTCCGGGCGCTGATTTACCGAACGGTCCACTTACCGCACGCGATGGTCGCCCAAATTGAGATTCTCGCTCTGGTTCAGAAATTGAAAGGCGTTCGGGTTGTAGATCGGCGTTTCCGCCGAGTTGGATCGCACCGGCTCCAGAACTTCGTTTATGATATGCAGGACCTGAAATCATACGAAAAAATGAAGCAATTGTTAGAGAACGTTGTCACAGTTTTGCATAGAATTGGAAACCCGGTTTCACCAAACGTCGCTTAACTTTAATCTAAAGCCAACGGCACACGATACTATTTTTCCTACTGGATTGCTTACGCGAACGAATAAGGATGTACAGTTTTAGATCAGGACTTAAGACTAAATTCTGATTGGCTCTCGTAAGCAATCCAGTAGGAAAAATAGTATCGTGTGCCGTTAGCTTTAGTTTAACTGTCTCTTTCTGAGGGAACAGTTGGAAAGGGACAAAGGACGAATTGAGCTAAGCTGAGAGTTCAGCAACGTTGGTGAAACTGAGCCTTGATATAAAAATAACTGATTTATAGTAAAAATCGGGCGGAAATAACGATAGTCGAAAAATTCGTATCAAGAGGAAGGTACGGAGGATCAAGAGGATCAAGAGGTATCGTAAGATTGCATTAAACAAAGATTTCCGGCAGAGATTACGTAATTGGCAGGTGTAGGGATGTTGAACTAGGCAACCCCGGGATTAAGGTTTAGACTCCCTAATTCTGACTTGCGAGGACCGAGTTAATCTCGCACAAGTCGAACGGATCTACGAATCCGGCCGCGGTGGCGAAGACGAAGTGAGACAAACCGACGTCAAGCTCGACGTGGCGCGGGCTCGGCGGGAACGGAGACACGAAGAGAGACTGGAAGATAAACCACCGAAATGGAGGAAGCGAATAAACGCCGAGTTCGAGAGAAGGGAAAGAGACGGCGAGACTAGGGGGGTGCACGTCGCGAGTATTTATCCTGCGGCGACGAACGCCCGGCTATATCGAGTCTGTCAGAAACAACTGACGCGCGCTTTAATAGTAAACTCATGAAGGAGAGAAAAACATATTTATTCACGTGCGCTTCCTGGGCGATGCGCCGTGAAATTCCCTTCGACAAGACGGGGCCGCTTCTTTGTCTTCGAAAACAACGTCTCGAAATAGCGTTTCTTCAATTTTACCTGATACGCGATAAATTCGCAAGCGTACGTAGCTGGAGACACTTTTATAGAGGAGATCGCGCGCGTTGCTCCGCATCGTGTCTCTAAGTATAGAAAATATATTACGCGAGATCCGCCGCCGAGGAGGAGAGGACGCACAATAGGTTTCTCTCCTCTCTCAACCCCGCCCCTTCCTTCCGCCACGTACACGCTATTTCACGAAAGAGTGGAGTCACTGGAAAGTGATAAGATGTAGAAACTGTTACCCCCTTTGCGCGCATCCCCGCCGGGAGGCGCCATCATTTACCATCCCGAAAAGGAAAAAGTTCACGGCTAAAACGTTGCCGCCGACGCCACTATTTATTCGCTCTCGTCCCCGCGATCGCGTCCCGACTCCCTTATCTCGCGAGGGACATCCCCGTTCTTACTGCAGCCGTTTGGGGAAAGAAAAGGAGGGGGGAGGAACAAGGGCGTTGGGAGACATAAGCGGCGAAGTTGCGACGTCCCGGGCGAATTCGTCTGTGGAATATTAAGGGGATGCTGGACTGATTCTCCACTTTTTGCACCCTTCGCACCTGAAGCTGTCAATTCATGGAAACATTTGGGAAATGTACAGGGTGTCCCATTTTGACTTGGACGGTAAAATATCTCAAAAACTAAGCCCGGCAAACAAAAATGTTTTAGACAAAAGTTGTATTTCGAGGGGGACATAAGATGGTACCATTGGTATGACTTTGAGTAGTTGGTTGAAGGTCACGTGAAGGTCACCTTCAATTTTTTTTATGGAACCCCCTATTGTTTATTATACTATTTTATTTTACTAATTAATATGAACAACCTTTGTTTGAAACATTTTTTGATTTGCCTAATACTTTTTGAGATATTCAAGGGAAAATTTATAATTTTTTCAAAGTTTAGCTCATGATATCTCGATAACTGTTTGTCGGAGGGAAAAGTATTATAGAACAGGACCTTTCTTACTTGATTTGGTCTCAGGAATATGCTGTTGCAATAGTGCACCAATTATTGAAAACTTTTGTGTATGTCACAATATACAAAAATGTTTCACCAACGTAGTTTAACTTTAAGCCTGGCTCAATTCGTTCTTTGTCTCTTTCCAACTGTTACTTTAGAAAGAGATAAACATGAATTAAAGTTAAGCGACGTCTGGTGAAACCGGGCCTTACTGGGACACTTTCTGTACGCACAAGTACAATTTGTGTATTGTGCAAATGTTTCCGTGAATTGACTCCAGACGCAAGAGGTGCAAAGGGTGCGGACTCACTCTAGCATCCCCCTAAGTCCCAGTCTACAATAGAGATTTAAGCCCTAAGCCTTAAGAAATTGACTAATCACAGTCGCGCATTCTACTCATACTTGACCGTGATTGGCCAATTTCTTAAAGCTTAGGGCTTAAATCATCTATTGTAGACTGGGACTAAGACGCGAGTTTCCCCACGCGCGCTCTCCGCGTCGCGTCGATAGAAAAACTGCGTCCCGGGCGTGTGCCAGGGACTTTACTTAACATCCATAAGCTTAATCTTTTCGCCGTTGCGCTGCTGTCGCGACATCTTTAATAAATATAATTCGAGAGCGCGGCAAGGGCGGCGGGGTGGGAGGCGGAAGGGGAAGCGAAGAAACTAATTGAAACGCCGAGAAACTGTATTAATAAGCGGCGTTGATAATAGAACTCAGTTAACATAATAATTCCATCAGAAACTGTGTTTGCCCGACTGCTCCCGCAGCCACCGCTGAATTACTGTAGCAGCCGTAGTTCGATATATGTGGCGTCGCGGACAAATTATACTTTCCGCGTTACGAAGCGCCTTGCGGAATAAAATTCGGTGGAAGCGTCTGAAAATTTTTCCAGATTCGGAAACACGCAGATCTGACGCGAGCGTTCATGGAGTAGATAATTAAATATCCGCACGATCCATCGTGGCTGCGCCGACAGTTTTAATACGAAACATCCATCACGGTGTCCGTAAAGATGAAGGGGGCGAGGGGGAGGGGAAAGAGCGCTGGTCGCGCGGTCGTACGGAAAGTTGGCGTCTATGAGCTCGTCGAGGGGAGAAAGAGAGAGAGAGAGAGAGAGGGCACGGGCGACGTGGAAGATCGTATGATAAGAGAGAAAAAGGAAGACGGCGAAGGGAGCGTGTCCCATTTATCCGGCGTAGTCGCGGAAAAAGACAGCGGCGACGGCGGCGGCGGGGGAGGGGGTGTGGTGGTTGGCTAGAAATGAATCGTTTTACTCACCGGGAATGAGAGAGGAAAGCGAAGTTTGTGTGTTCCTTACGGGATAAGACGCGCCCGAGCCAGGACGCCCATTTATCTTGCCGGCGGTCGCGAGTCATCGGGGGCAGGGGGCGGGAGAGGGGACGGGGAGAGATCGAACGTTCGCCGGCGTACGAATGAATCCTTAATTTTTCGCGGCTGCCCGCCGTGTCCTGATTTTTCGCGCGAAGACGTCCAGGAGCTCTCCCGAATAACGTTAGGAGCTCGCAACCGAAACTTTACGCGGTCAACAATACCGTATCAGTGTTACTTAACAAATACCGGCGTTATTGATCATTGCGTGGTTAATATTGACGGTGGTGGATCTCTTGATTCTCGGGTATCGCTCCGCGATAGGGACGCTGTTAGCGATACTAACTGTGTGACGAGGGCGTATGTAGATCAAGTTATGTACATAAGTATTGTCACTGATCCTAATCGTCTAAGTTTGTAAAGATACTTTTCCCCGTGGATTGCTCACGAGAACCAATCGGGATTCAGCCGTAAGTCACCTGATCTAAGATTCGGCGTCCTGATTGGCTCGCGTGCCGTCGGCTGATTCAATATTAACGAGAGGCCCGCGTCCACGATGCCCGAACGTGGTCCAGGTCCTAAAGACTTTTTCTGGAACGGCCGCGGGTCGATTGGCTACGCATTTCTCGGATATGGAACTTGGGACGCGGGCCTGAAGAATCGAGACGACTCGAGGAGTCGTCGGGGCTCGCGAGGATTCCGCGGTTGCGCGGTATCGATCTGTACCAGGCTACCGTTCGATCATATTAATTTCTCCCCTCGCTTCTTTGTTACCCGTCCAATTTCGCGCGCGAGTGGCAAGTGCGCGCGACCACCGCCGCGGTCGGCCTACCGCGGGAGTATCGTAAAGTTAACGCTAATTAAACTTTACCGATAGTTGCCGCCGAGCCATTCGCGACCTCTCTGCGAGCGGAGGGAGGGGGGAGGGCCAGGGGCTCCTTCTTAATCAGCCCGGCTACCCATATTCGCGGTCGGGGATGGTACACGCGGGTACGAGTTATCATCTCGATACACAGCGCGGCCCGTGCTCGCTCATTTCTCCTGTGGGCGCCCCGCCGCGAGATAATCACGATCTGCGCGCGGTTAACTATGAATTATCGTACGCAGCTACCTCCGCGATAAACTTGGCGTGGATGCGGTCTCTTCGGAGATTAAAATCGATCCCGCCGCGATTCATTAGAGCGCTATCGACGCGCGCTTATCGCACTTGGCGTCTCAATCGTCCCTCCCGCGCTTATCGCGATTTTTGCCACGCGCGATTATCTACGCGAGAGGAGGAACGTTCCTCCGGCTCGTTAACGCTTTAACATCTGGCGCTTGTCGCGTTTTTTCTTTTTTTTTTCGGGAAAAGCCCTTTAATGAAGCACTTAACGCTTTGCGTAAATTTAGAAAATATAACGGACCACGTCTCCAGTTAAAGCCTTCCTGCTTTTCAATTAGAGCGAGGGAGAAGAAACGGCGGGAACGGTGGAGCGTTTAAGTTTGCAGTTGACGTACGTTAATAATTTTATACGCGCGGCGAGTCGCGGCTATTAAGTAATCAAATGCATTCTTTCCGCATGAATATTCAAGGCGAGAAGAGAAAGAGAGAGACAGAGAGAGAGAGAGAGAGAGAGAGAGAGCGCGCGCGAGGGTAATTCCATGCAAAGCGGGGAATACCGAATTATGTAGCTCCGCTAGCGACGGCGAGTCATCGCCGGTATAGAAA